TTCTTTCCAAGTTGGCTTTTAATGTGGAACAAGGAATTGTCTTTCCATTTAAAAAAAAAATGGTATAAAGAATGCAGAATTTACCATTTCTCGAAATGCAGACTGCATGTGACAAGATCATTAGTTAATTGAAAGCCTTTATTTTGTGCACTGTGCCTTTGTTTTGATATTTTTATTATATTTAATTTTTGTCATTTAAAAAAAAATGTAATAATGTTTGATCTGCTTCTCGTCATAAGAAAATGTCCACCCAAAAATGTTCACTTGGTTATGGATGGAGGTTGATGATAGAAATTGCCTTTTTTCTTAGTTAAAAAATTTTTTTCAGGAAACTACACCATATCAAATAAGCTTACAGTTGTCTACCTTTATGATAACAGGTTCTTCCTCTCCTAAATCATTAAAAGCAACAGCAGAACCTTTATTCTGCTATTCTTTATATTGCCTGGAAGTCACCCTAAGGTTAATTATGTTGATAAAACATCACTACATCTGTAAAAGCCCTAAGCAGATTACACCAGAAGATGGCAGTAGCAGAGAAATGTTGAATAGCCACTGCCCATCCTGGAGAAACATAAGCTGTGTGATAAAGAGGGGGACATTTACTCTAGTTTCATACAAAGTCTTAGAGAGCAGTACCTAAAAAATCATAACATCCCTTTAAGGTGTAATTCCACCTAGAGGTGTCACACAAACATTCACATACTTTGAGCTCTTAACAACCCCAAAGTCAGGCCATTTGAAAATGCAAATTATAATGTTTTCTAGTTTTATTGAGAACTGGCTCTCCTCCTATGTATTTCTATTGGACAGAGAGGCTTCCCATCAAAGTAACCTGCCAATAAAAAGTTGCAAGAGGTGGGAGAGGACAGGGAAGCTTTCAACATCAGACATTTTGGCTGCAATTTGGCAGATTTTTTACTGGCATGGCAGGTAAAAGTAAAACGTGTTACCAATGTTTATATGAAATAGATAATGCGGCTTAGTACTTACATACACAAAGGGGCCCCAGCTAGGTTCATGAGATGCTTTGAGAAGGTGTTTGATGGTACATGCCATCATTTAAATCATGTTAAAAGTCTTACAGATTTTTCAATAATTAGGTTTAATTTAAGTTCATCTCTAAACACTAAACTAACCCTAGCCCTTCCTGTGCCGCCCCAATGGGGCATAGAATATGTTATAGAAGTTAATATAGTTGATGTCTTCAGTCTTCTAGAACCTGACAAAGATCCTGAGGTTCGTCCTGAAGGCAAAACCCTTGTCACCAGAACTGGACAAGGACCCATCTTGGGCTGTCGTTTCTCCAAGTGGACAAGGCCTGACCGCACTACTGCAAGGTTAGTCCATGCTATACACTGCCAACACACTAAGCCCACAGATGCCTACTGTCAGGACTGGCACATATGCCAAAATCTTCTTTTTGCAAATCTAATCGGAGTCAGAATACTTCCCATCTGATACATTTGGCTGTTGTGAGATCATACGAAAAAAACAAAAAAGTAATAAGAAGCACCACCATTAAGTTCAAGTCGCCACTTAGATAGACATGTTTGTAGCTGTACCTCTTTACCTGTATATTTGTTTATCTTCACTCTCCATCTCTTCAAACACTTGGCCACATTACCTCCGTATCCAGCCTCCCTGAATTTGTCCCACCAGCTTGGCAGACACAAGCACTTGGTAAACATTACATCTAACGGGCTTCTCTGTTAGATTCCAGCTTGATAGCTGCATCAAACAATGCTCGATTCCCTATTCTACACAAACATGTCACGTTATTGCACTAAGAAAAAGAAGTGAAGAAAGACGCAGATTTGCAAAGGAATCCAGTAAAATATTTTCATAACTGGGGCATTAACACACACACAATGCCCCATATGTTTGACATAAAGGGTAAAATGACAGTTTACATTTTACCTTTGATCTGTAGAACAAATTTGAGATGCTGTTGACCTTTGGGATCAGGTTAACGTTACTTTGAAGATGAGGAAGCAGCCTAAGAAAACCATGTTCAGCTGACAGTTTTCTTTAGAGAAAATGAGCTGATTGTTCAGTCTGTAAAGGCAAATACACAGTGTTGTTTATAATTGGAGCTACCTTTTACTCAGGTAGTGTGCATATATATGTTACTAGCAAAAGAGCGCCATTCCAGAACAGGCATGGTTGAGGCTATGTCAAATTTTAAGACCTGTTTTAGTAGGGCATATATGTATGTAAGTGGGGGTAGAGGTGGACAGGGAGGGCTGAATAGCAGTGGGGATTGAGTCAGCCAGGAAGGGAATGATGTCAGCAGAAAGGGTGTTAAAGTGGAAGTAGTGAGTAAAATAACTGACTGGGAGGTGGGGATTTTTCCTCTCCTCTTTTATTATTTTCCGTAAATACTGTATGGCGCATAGACCATACAATGTGCACTCTTAGCCCATTCACTGCATCTATAAGATGCTGGGCTTGCAAGAAAAATACAAAGTAGCATGGGGTCTTCTGATCCATGTGCTTCCCCCCTTTGGGGGAGGGAAGCATATGGACTTCTGCCGTGAAGCGAAGGAAGGCTGATTGTATTCCTTCTAAAGAGGAATGCCGGACCATTCATTAATCCGCGGTTAGGGTGCAGGTCTTAGCTCTCTCCAGTTCCCTCTGTGAGTTTGTGGACTTTGCAACTTTGTTTAAGGATGGTGCCCCCTTACCTATGTAGGGCTTACTGTACATTTCTTCTTCATTAATTAAGTAAATATCCCTGTAAGAAAACTGATGTGGACTCTATTATTTTGTACCTATAAGGGACTGCTCTTGGGCATAGGCTTGTGGTTGGGGAAGAGAAGCGGGACTACAGTTAGTGGGACTGAGAGGTCCTGGGGTCTGATCAGGCCAGGCTGGGTCACTCACCAGGGTGTCCCAAAGAGGGTGATGTCTCTGTGTTCTGCCATGTGAGGCACAGGAACCCTCCAGGTCCCATGCTAAGGAACCTCACGTGCCATAATGTACACCCAGGCCAGCAGAGGAGCAGTTAACTTCATGGCAAATGCTAAGTAAATGTTTAACACATGCTACACATAGTGGTCTCGCTGGACCACTTGTTGTTACAAGTGTGGTTAAGATGGCCATAGATGGATGGATGTTAGAATGAGGAGTGGGTATGGTGGTTAAGGAGGAATGAATGTCAGTGGAGGTAAGGCAGCCAAGAAGGTTTAACTGCCACAGGAGGGGTAGGTGTCTGGGGAAGGCAGAGTGTCAATGGAGGGGGGGGTGAAGCAGCAAGTGAGGGATGGATGTCAGTGAGTGAGGGGGATGAGGTGGTTAGGGATGGATGGGATGTTGGCAACTAGGGGGAGGCAGCTGGGGAGGGTTGGATGGCAGTGAAGGGGATAGGAGAGGCAGTTGGGGAAGAGATGGATGACAGTAAATGGATGAGGTGAGTGTGAAGGAATGATGTCAGCAGGAGGGAAAGGCTAAGTTTGCCAAGGAGGGAAGGATGTTAACCAAAGAGGGATACCTTTTAGCAGAGGGGGAAGTTAGGCAGCCGGTGAGGGATGGATGTCAGCAGAGGAGCAGAGGAGGAGTCTAAAGGCCAGAGAGGAATAGATGTCAGGGACAGGAGGTGAGGATATTGGGAGGGATAGATGCCAGAAGAGGGGTGGTGAGGGAGCTAGGAAGGGATCAGTGTTAGCAGAGGGGGTGAGGAAGCCAGGGAGAAATGGATTTTATAGCAGGGGTGTCACATCATGATAAGCCAGGGGCGTTGCTGTGCGCTGTGATCGGTGGGTAAGGTGTCTGGGGAGAAATGTGGTGTGTACAAGGTGCTACTGTTAACATGGGCATGATGTGGGTATGATGGGGCACTTTGAGCAGAGGGTGAGGTGGCCAAAGAGGGATGCCCCTGTGAGTGAGAGGGCAGGGGGGTTATGTTGTGAAGTGGTTATATAGGAATGTATGTGCTGTGAGAGTTGAGGGCATAGTGTAAGAGTGTGTGTGTGTGTGTGTGTAATGTATGATTTAGGGTTTCTATTAGTCTGGGGGGGGGGTGATGAATGTGGTGTGAGGGGGGCTGGTTGGAGATGAGTTGTGAAGGGGGACGGCTGGAAATGTTCTCAGGGGGATAGGCATAGCTAAGTCACTTACCTTGAGCATCCTGGAACAGCGTTCGGCTCACTTCACTTCAGGTCGGTCATTCACTCGGCTGCCTACGGCAGCTTAGTGAATAGACCCGTAAGATTACCTTGACAAGGACATTGTTGCTGCTAACCTCTTGTTTAAACATAGATGAAAAATTAGCAAATTAAAGCATTGTCTAGGCTCTTTCAAATTCTGTAAACTCTGTTGCTGAAAACAATATTTAGAACATGATTTGTTTTTCTTTTGGAGTCGTTTTACTCTTATCTTTGGCACACATGTACGAATGTAAGCATTCAATTTTCTTTCTGGAGACTTGAATTGCCGCCATCTTCTTCCACTAAATTGGAGAGAGACAAATAATTTAGGCATTTCCTTTTCTTTTTTTCCCTTCTATATTAAAGGGGATTGTGTCACATTTTTGTACATGCTTTCCTTCTCTCAGGGGAATGTTTTTTTAAGCAGTGAATGTCATATTCACCAATATCCCTTTCACTGCAGGTGAATTCATCACCGTAATTTAAAACACATCTACCAGGAAAACTTGCTTCCATTGAATCTTTAGTGACTATCACATTCACTGCTTTTTTAGATATGCCCCATTATGTTCAGGGTGATACAATGGTTATGGTTAGAACTTGACAGCAGGAACAGTAAAAGGCACCTTGAGAAGTTGGATGGGTTGGACTTTTTTTGTTATTGCTCCTCCTATCTAGTCGTTTGAATGCCCATACATATGTGCAGAATTATTGACAGTGTTTTAGCATACACAAAGTGACATATCCATCCACCAACCCCATCAACCTCATTTACCTGAATTACGGGGTTCTTCTTCCTGCAGGCTGCTGTTTATTTTTGAAAATGACAGGATCTGTGAATGGAGAAACTACCGTAGCAGAGGGACTCATAGTTCTTAATGGCATACATCACCCACTTGTAGTCCATTCGTACCTTTTCCAATCCATGTTACTGAATTTCTGTAAAGGGTTGGTTGGGAGAATCTGCAGGAGCCAGAGCATCACCCCCACGATCCACTGATTGTGGTGCCATGCTTTACAGACGGCAATGAAAAAAAATCATAAATGTACTTTTTTGAAATAAAAATAAATGTGTGCATTTATTATTTGTTTAAAAAAAAAGTGGAATTTGTCTTTAAAAAGAATGCCAAACTGGGTTCAGGCCTTAGGATTTGTTTTACTTTTCATCATTAAGAAGTTATAAAAATAAAATAGATCAGTTTCCCTTCCAGACTTTACATTGATTTGCCAGCCTGCCAGTAGATTCCCTAAGAATCAGTGGTACTGAAGGGTAGGACACATCTATTGGTGATAATATTGACTTTAATCAACAGCACATGCACCTTATGAACAACTTCATTAACTCTCATAACTTCTACAAAAGAATTTGCTTGAAAGGAATATGCAAAACAACATAGAGGACGTATGTTCTTACAGTCTGTCTAAGAGTATCTGCAACTCAAACATAATTCCTTTAGCAAACAGTTAAAAAATATTCCATTCCTTAGAATACCTCAGTTCACCGAAAGTTAATCGCAGATTGCATTTTGTACTTGAACGTCCTGTTTTTGGAAGAGGACCGTAAATATGCTTATCGATACCACAGAGGAAAAATAATCATAATAATGTTATGAACATAACTATCTCTAATTACTTGGCAACATCTATAGGGTTGAGAACGATTTCTCCTTTCATTTTATGTGTCTCTCCTAATCCTTCTAAAGTGAATCTTTAAATTTATTCCAGCTGTCGGAATCCAAATGAAGCTCGAATTTTTCCAAAGAAAATTTTCGATTGCCAGCAGACAGGTAAGTTAGAATCAGATGTTGATTTTACATTATTGTTGCATATTTATGTAATTTGTTTTTTTTACGATTCTTACTTTGATTGTAGTATTTGTGTGATAAACAAATGATTCATTATACCAGCAATTCTTTATTCCATTTCTGGGTAGCAACGTCATGCCAAAAAAAATTGGGGTGGGGTTTTTTGTCTCTCAGTCAGGTTTAAACAGGGGGCAAGAACACAGCTGAAGACATTATAGTATTGAAATCAATCAAAATATAATTTATATGGTTTGCCTTCTTATTTATGCAAGCTATTTTTTTCATTTAAGACAGAGCGGGAAAGGGTTAAATCCCATAATTGTATATTTCACCCTCTGTGTATTATTGGGGAGATTTCCCTTTACCCGCCTGCCCTGGAGGCACACCAAGAATTGAAAGGACATCTCTACAAATTGAGGGGAATTTCCCCCTTACAAGGTTGTCACCTAAAAAGATGTTCCCATTTGGAAGATTTCCTTTCACTGCTAGTTCTGGTGACAACTGTAAAATTTTGGATTTCCCATTTCTTTACATGTTTGTGATCAGGGTCACCAGGACAAATAGCAAGGTTGAATATCCCCGCAGACACAGACTAACCCTCCCCTGCTCTGTCCAAAACTTAAAAAAAAATAAGTTTTGACTATACACACTGTTTACCAAAGTTAAAGCAAACCGGTTACTCCCTATAAACCCAAACACTATCCTAAAAAATAAGACTAGGCACAACTAGTGCCAGTTTGTGATAATATCATTAGAATCTGTACCTGAAGGGTGGTCTTGGAACCCCTGAAACCTAGAGCTCTTGCAGTATGCATATTCCAATGCAGTGGGCCTTTCAGCAGGTTGTTGAAATCCCAAGCTGCAATGAAAGATGTGTTGAACATATGCCTTCTTGTCAACTCTTCCTAATGTTATTTGCATACTGCAGATACCTACAGGGCTATTCACTAAAGGGTGAAGAGTTTGGAGAAGGCAGGAGAAGTGAACAATCTAGGCCAAAATAGCTGACCTGGAAAAATTCTCCAATTCAGCTCACTTTCCAGTTCAGCTATGTTGTCCTAGATTGTTAACTTCTCTTGCCTTCTCCAAACTCTTCACCCTTTAGTGAATAGCCCTGCTAGTTTATTGATTATTTATTTTTTTCATCATGGGAGCACTTGATAGACACAAGAAACTGACACACACTCTTGATGCTTATGTGCATACGGCCTAGATTCTAACTTACAAGATCCATTATACAGGAAAATGTATATATTAAAGGTATTTAAAATATGAATTGAATTTAAATTTGTCCTTATAGCTAATCTCTACTATACATCTTCACTGTGCTATCGTCCAAGCTGTTAATAAAAGATTTCTAATAATTACCCACCAACCACCGCAACCTTTTCCTGGCTGTTATTGAAGGGAGTGGGTTACTTGTATACATCCAAAGAGTAGGACATGTGCTCATGCTGCAACATTGACTGGTTGGTTAGGCAAAGCTAGCAAATCAATGACAAAAAGCACATAACCATCACCGTGACTCTGTTCTGGGAATACCAGCTGTTAGAGGCCAGTAGTGGCTTTTAGGTACGTTTTAGAAAGCTTAGGAAGTTATTAGAATGGCAAAAAAAAAAATAGTACAGTGGGGATAAGAGGTTTAATAGAGGTCAAGTTTCTAATTTCTTTAAAAAGTTGAATCTGCAGGCCTTTTTAGTGGTAACCTTTTCCTCTTTGCCTCTAGACTAAAGTGTAAAGCCCTCCAAAGAACCTTCCAACCCCTAAGGAAAAGATAGTACTGTATCTAAAAAATAAATCACATATAAAGAACAGAATGGAGCTGTCTGTATGACAGACTATTTTAAGTGAACTTCTTCCACATATACATAGGTGTGTGACTGTGTATGAAACGCTTATTAGCTGGGACAAGTAATTAATTGTCTGTAAAAAAATAAAAATCTCCAGATGTGAATATTTTCTGAACTGTATTTGATGGGATCAAACTTTGTTTAACAGATGGAGATTACAGCTGTACTGTAATCTGCTTACTGATTCATTGTCTCATAAAGTGAAGAGAGACCATGATGATCATTTGTGAAATGGAGACATATTTTGTCTGCTAATGAAGTGGTTTTTTTAACCAGTTGACATCCGCGGTGTTACACCCCCTTCCCATCCAGGCCATTTTTCATTCATTCAGTACACTGCAATATGTTGGCACTGATGTTGGGATAAAACAAGCCGATTTATTTCCATCATACAATAGTTATGGATAACCCCTAGCCACAACATCTAGACAAAAGAAGAATCATGATACACTTACAAACTGTGTTCACCATTTGGGCTTGGACCATCTTAGTAACCCGTAAAGTCGAGTATTAACTGTAGGTCTGCCACTCCAAGCTGCTTCCCTATTTACAATTAAGCCAGACAGAGCACTGGAATACTTACCTGTCAGACGCTGATGGTCCTACTGATTGCTGTACTCACAATTGCGTGAAACAGAGACACTGATTGGTTGACTCTGCCTGAAAAGTCAATCAGCGCTTCTGTCTAATAAAGAGCTGTGGAGGTTGAGGTGGATGTAAAAATTTAGGCACCGTTACTGGAACAACATTCATGCCTGCTGACAGGTAAAGTATTTTAGCAGCAGAACAGAGCAGTGCACCTAAAGCCAATATTTGCCTCTAAGTGTGACTAGGGTCTGGGAATATTGGTGGAGTAAACAGAGTGCCAGACGTATGGTTGAGAATCCAGTTAAATTTGTATTCGTCATAAGAGTAAAAAGGATTTTTAACGTAGTTCAGGCGCTTAACCACTTCTCCTTGTGCAGGTGTTGGTTTGAATTGATATGGACTGAGAACAAGTATCCCGGAGTATATTTCTCTGCCATAGATTAAAGACTTGTTCTGGTCATTGTTCTAGAAGCCTAGCAGGCACTAGGTCACACTCTCGTCCCCCTACCAAGCTTACTACTGGCAATCCAGGGACCTCTTCTTTGGACCTTCGAATCTTATAGAGCAGCCTCTTATCCAAAATACCAGCAGATCTACTTACCTACCAAAATCCTATGCCATTGCTCCACCAACATGTCTTCATTTAGACTCTTGAAGTCCAACATCATGATAGAAAAACTGGAGCTGCTGTTGTTGACTTGTTTTAAAAGTATAGGGATGTCACCTACATTCTTGATGTAGATGAAGACCAAATAGGCAAAGGTACCTGATTTGGACGACTACCTAATACTCAGTAAGTCGCTGTCTTGGAACAAGTATACAGATAATGGGGCCAGGAATCCTGATCTGCCAACATACAAGAACTTGCCTTATACAAGTTAAAGATAAGAGCCTTTAAGTTAGGTTTTGCCAAGGAATGGACTCTTTGAAGAAGGAGCCGTGTTAAAGATGGACATAGACTGCCTATCATATAATGTCTATAACGGCAACAGCCTCTTATTGCATATTGATAGTACAAATGATCACATCTTTTGGGTTTTGTCTGATACAGGCGGCTTGTCAGTACTGGAAGCTCTTAAATAAGGCTGACTGTGTGTACTGTCAAATGATTGATGTGTCCCCCAGCATGAACTTAGAAAAGTTGTATTAACCATTTTTCTTATCATTTCAGTGTGCATCTTTAGATGGCAAGTGTTCCAGAACTTGTGATGATGATGTAAGTATATTTTAGGTGTTAAGTATGTGTTCATATATTTATATATTTTATGCACGATGGGCAAAATAACAATAATAAAAGATAAGAAGAATAGTAGTATATCACGTTAGCAGATGTTGCTTTAACAGTTTTGAAGTGCTGGTGACATACTCGCGTACATACTCACCAAAGCCCTATCTCTGATGCCTACCATCTGTACTTTTAAAAGTCCTTGTAAAGACTATGGATGAGGTTTGTGTTCTCCACTATCATGGGTTCACAAATCGCAAACTTGCGTCCAAAAGGTTTACAGAAATAAGGAACAACCAGTAATACAGTGCATTACTTTTGCCCTGCACAGCTGAGTCACAATAGCTTATAATTTGAAGGACTCAGTCAGAGCGCCAGTGTATGTTGGAGATGTTAGGGACAACTGACAATTCTGTATAGGGAAAATTAAATAACAAAGCCACCCCCCCCCCCTTTCCCCATAGACTTCGATAGGGATTACCACAAAGTGTGTAAACTTCAAGAGAGATTTGCAAAACGGTTTGTGAACCAAACCCAGGTAGAAATTCTCCTCCCTAGTGAAGACCAAGATCTATTGGACCCTGCACTCTGGTGACCAATAATCACCAGTTGGCAACACGTTATACTCCTGTCTGTCCATTTTGACCTTGTACGTGCTCTCATGTTTTTTGCATTGTGCCTATGTTTCTGTTACTGTTCTGCCCTGGATTTCAACCATGTTCCTGTTCCTTGCCACTTGTGACAGTATCACTCTATAGGGACCAGCCAGTTTCAGAAATGCTGAAGGTCGAAGAGTGAAACCTGAAAAAAGTTTAAAGCTCGATCTCATTGGCAATATAGACAAGTATGTCAGACATGGTGAAATGGGCCCTTGGTACCCCTTTCTAATCAGCCTATTTACCGTTGTGTACATCACCTCTTTATGTGTTCCCATGTGGACACGTCTTACTGACTCATAGACTTCCTGTGACTACTCAGTGCCACTGAGTACCATTTAGTCAAGATAGACTTGTGCATTGTGATTTGTGAGGCTCTGACATGGTTGCACAACTTCTGATACATAGGCCCCAAGGAGCTTAAAGAATGCAGCAAGTGGAGCATCTGTCCTTAATTATTTCATTCAGTATTACAGAGAAAATACTTGACTGCTAGTAAAATAACCCCAGTGCTCAACTACTTCTTCCTTTGATGTCATCTAATGAGCAGATTGGAAAGATTGTATTCACTTTGGACACATTAATGCTTTTAACTTTGCTCCTTAAATATCTTAAGATGGTTTTTTATTTAGAGAATTATCTGAAGAACATATTTTGTTTAGAGGTACACTCTCATTCCCGAAATGCTTTAAAGAACAACTCCAGGCAATTGAAAAATTAACCCTCGCAATGGGGCTACACCGCACTTTAAGGGTCAACGGCTTGTTTTGGGCACTTCAAATAGGGAGGGGCACAAAGGTGGATCAGCATGGAACTTCACAAGGAAGCGTTGTACAGTGTCAGAATTTGCATATTAGTTTGAGAGCTCCTGGAACGATTATGATGATCATTGAAGGTAGCTACCTGCTTGTTACTCCAGTAGCCACTTTACCATGCTTTTTATAGCAGCAGGTTCACCTTACAACTGTAGGCACAGTAACAGCCACGTGACACAATGACTCTGGTTTAGTAAAGAAGTAGAACATTTTCACTTTCAAAGTGAATTTTCACTTAGCTTAGTAAAGCTTAGCTTGCAAAAAATACCAAACGAAATAAAAAAGCAAACAAATGTGCAAGGAAAATTAAAAAAAAAAAGAAAAAGATTTTTGCTTATACATGATTGGATGATTAAAGTTAGAACCACTTCACCCTAATTCACTAAGTGAAAACTCACTTTGCTAAAATAAAATATACTTAGCTTAGAGAATGAGGAGAAGTCGTGCTGACTTCAATCAAGTGCAAACAAAATATTGTTTTCTTTTCTAATTTTCTTTGCATATGATTGGATGTGTAATTGTTTTGATGTTCAGTGTTAGATATTCCATTTGTTTTACTAAGATAAGTGAAAATTCAATTTGAAAGTGAATATGCTCTACTCCTTTAGTAATTTAACTCCACTGTGTCTTTCCAATTTTTACTGCATTCCCCCTTCTGGTTTGATCTACCAACAGAGCCCCAAGCCATACCTGGTACTTCTGGGTATGGGGCACACATGGTCATTCCTCCCAAAGTTCAGTGTATGAGAATCCATTTTGCCTGATGAATGAACCACATGAGGTTCCAAACGTTGCATTTGCATGTGATACCATGTTTATCTAACGTTAAATAAAGAAGGAGCAATGAAGTGCACCCCAGGTGTGCTGGTGGCTGTCTCTTCTACATTTAATGTGTGCAGTGCCATCCACAAGTCACTACAGCATGCACTGAAATACTTTAACTTATGATACCGGTCTGGAGTGCGATGGGACATTTTCACATGCATGAGTGACCTATCACCAGACCCAATTGCTATTGCCGGGTAGCAGAAGGACCATAATCTCCACTCTCCTAAAATGAATACTTACAAAGGAACTTCATGGGTTCAAACAGCGGGGAATACATGTAGTCAATAACCAGCTGCACTCCTTACCGGAATAGTAGTAAACCTGCCAAGCAGGTGGGTGCTTGTAGTGACCACGGACGGCCCCGTGAACAATGCAGATCTAGAAAGGATTGTCACCAGCACACCAAAAGTTTTGAAGCAAAAAGTCCTTTAGTGACAAATCGCCATCCAATACAAGCGCTTTCGGGGTCTCAGCAGTACCCCCTTCATCAGGCTCAGAATGACACAGTAAAGCAAACCATCACCTTTAAATAGACATACCAGTGCATATTAAAAACAGACCACTCCCACCAGTTGCAGCTGGAACACCGTATATTCCCGCCATTCTGCACTCAAATGAGGCTCACCTGTAATCCACTAATGTACACAGCGAGTTGTAATGATATGGCCGTTAGCTGGAAGTAACATCAGCTGGTTGCCTAGGGTACAGGACGCTGGCATGCACAGTGGACAAGTAGCAGACAGTGCAGGCAAAAGACATTCCCCATTAACAATCCACATAGGATATATGTGCACCACCAATGCTGACATTGGTGGTGCACATATAAGCCCACAGGAGTAAACATGTGAAGCATATTCATATAGGGACACATCATTTAACGTTGTATTGATATATAATCGCACAAAAGAATACATTTGAGCCAAAAGTTATGGTGTCAAGCACACAGGGGAATGTAAAACAGTAGAGAAGACCATAAATCCGATATGTCCACCATTAAGGACAGTAACATTACAACAAAGGACGTCCCCCAAGGAAAATCTGGTGATTCATTTATCATCACGTCCACTGACTGAGGCTGAGTGCAACCTTTTGGCCAAAGGCCTATCCTTCTGTCCCACGGGGCACTTTGACCCATTTAGATTTGAGGTCGAAATGTTTAAGTTTGAACGCACATTGAAACTTAAACAGCATTTTGCGATGCTTCCGTCTGTGATACAAAAAGGTTTGCCCTTCCGTGTTAAAAGCAATTTTGTTCCCCCTGGTCAATTCTCGGCCATAAAGTCATTTGCGCGCACGGTGAAGTTTGATGTTGCGCTGGATAAGTCTTACGCCCGGTCCTATACTAATATGACCAGGTGTGACCGTGAGGCCCTTAAGAGCCTTCAAAATGAGGTATATTGATGATATCTTCCTGATATGGAATGGTAGTGACCTTGAATTCAATGCATTTGTGTGTTTTCTCAATGGTTTATTCCTTGGGATTGTCTTTAATCCCTCAATCTCGACACGGGAAATACCATTTCTTGATGTTCTGGTACATATAGGGGAGGGCAAGATCAGCACATTGGTATACTCCAAACCCACCGATAGGAACACACTCCCACGGTATGACAGTGCTCATCCTCCTCACCTTAAAAATAAAAATAATCTTCCGGTATCACAGTTCCTGAGGGTGGTGAGGATATGTTCTAACCCCGATAACTGCACACAGCAACTGAATAACATGTCTGACCGCTTCATAGAAAGGGGTTACCCCAGATCCATAGTGAATTCTGCCCTCACGAAGGCCACTGAGATCTTCTATGGAGGCAGCAAGGTGCGCCCCTCTGTGGATAGGCTTCCATTTGTGCATACTTTTACGTTGGCCAATAAAGCAATCCATAGAGCCACTCGATCCAACTTAAATATCCTACAAGCAGATAAAAGCATCACACAGGCTGCCAAAACAGACCAATGCATGTACACAAACAAAGCAATGCCTTACGCAGCCTCCTGATTCAAGCGGACCCTAGGTCCAAATACGCTAAAAAAACAGGTGACTCTGTCCAGTAAACTGGGGTGCTTCAAGTGTTTTCATTGTAACATTTGCAACTCGATCATCTGTGGCGGACATTTCTCACACCCTTACATGGGTAAGAAATAAATATACGTGGCTACTATAATTGCGACACGAAGTTTTGCGTGTATCTACTTAAATGCCCTTGTTCATTGGTGTATATTGGCAAAACCATCGGGCCGTTTAAGCGCCGCTTCCAAAAGCACAGAAGCGACATTAGGGTCACTGCTGCTAAACACCTTAAGGGCGAGGAACTGGACGTTAATAAACCGGTTGCCATCCACTTCGTGAAAATGAAGCATCAAATTCACGAACTTAGAGGCATGGTTGTGGAACATGTTC